AAATTTTGGAGTGTTCTGAATACAAGCAGGCTGGGTGGGGGGTCGGTGGTCTTTTTCTAGTCTCTGAAGGATCTTTGAAAGTTTTCAGAGCACAGAGTATACTCTTCAATTCAGACAATTGGTAGGAGGGTTGCTCTTGGTAAACGATTTCAGATTGTGCACAAAATAACCAGGGGATGTTGATAGCCGTATTTTTATAAGAAGGAAGGCATCAACTTTTATGAGTCCCATTTCTTTACTTCAAGCAACAGGTAAAGAAAGTAAAAGAAAAAAAATGTCCACAGAGAGTTTCTGTGAAAGCTCTTTTTTTCTGAAGTTAGCTCAGTCTAAAACTGACAACTTTCAGTAAAATAGAAATGACTTAGCAGATAATTTCCTATAGTAAGTAGCTTGGCTTTTAGTACAGCATATGAAATAAAAGGTCATTCTGATCTTTTGAGCAGGTAGTGATGCTGCGTCCTCCATACCAGCACAGCCCAGTCTCAGTTTTTGACCTTATCTGCTGGAAGCTTTCTGTATGCTAATATCTTTGTTAACAAGAGCCTGACAGTACTCACCATGCATGAACTACCAGGACCTAATTATTGCAACTACCACCTCCAGTGACTTTTGTGGTAGTACTTAGTTGGTTCTATAGCCCCAGATTAAAGCAGGGGAAGCCCTGCTTTTTTCTACTTCTGACAAAAGTCTAACTCTGAGTGTCATATATTTTCACTCCTATTGATGTGAATGACCTCGAAGAAATTGGCAGAGAAATGTGGAGAGCAAAGGATGGTGAGTTGGGCCCATTGTCCACAGCCAAGCATGCCTTGGTCACCCTCACATCTTTTGGGAACTGTCTCTAAACCTTTAAAAGTTGCACAGAATAAAAGAAGAAGAAGGAGTGATACTAATAAAAATATGAAAATAATAGTATTAGCTATTACTGAGCAGCAGATACCTTAAAAACCTTTTATAGGGGCGCCTGGGTGGCGCAGTCGGTTAAGCGTCCGACTTCAGCCAGGTCACGATCTCACGGTCCGTGAGTTCGAGCCCCACGTCGGGCTCTGGGCTGATGGCTCAGAGCCTGGAGCCTGTTTCCGATTCTGTGTCTCCCTCTCTCTCTGCCCCTCCCCTGTTCATGCTCTGTCTCTCTCTGTCCCAAAAATAAATAAATGTTGAAAAAAAATTAAAAAAACAAAAAACAAAAAACCTTTTATAGATTTCTCATTGATCCTCACAATAGTTATATGAGGTGGGTGCCTTTATTAGTTACATGAGGTGGGGCTATTTCCATATTACATATGATGAAGCTATACCTCAGAGAAGTTATTGGGCCTTGCTTAGAGCAGGGCCTGGGCCTCTTTAGCTCATAACTTTGTGGGTAGGACAGGGAGAAGAAAGGGTGAAGTGTATGGCCCTTGATTCCTCATCATCTTAAAAAAAAATTTTTTTTAATGTTTATTATTTTGAGAGAGAGAGAAACAGAGTGTGAGCTGGGGAGGGGCAGAGAGAGAGACACACACACAGAATCCAAAGCAGGCTCCAGGCTCTGAGCCATCAGCACAGAGCCCAATGTGGGGCTCAAACCCATGGACCATGAGATCATGACCAGAGTGGAAGTCTGATGCTTAACTGACTACAGCCACCCAGGCACACCGATTCCTCATCATTTTTAAGGAAAGTCAGGGATATGGGTAAGAGAGCAACTTCCTTTAGAGTCCACTGAATACAACTTAAACTCTGAAAAAGAAAACTTAGCAAGAGTTATAAATCTAATGTAAAGTATTACTGAGCCTGAGACATTATGTGTGCCATGGAGAACTGTAGTGTTCAAGTGAGTAGAGAAGAGGGCACACAGTGTCTGCTTCCCACAGGGGTGCATCAGTACAGGAGAAAATACACGTGTCTGGCTGGGGTGGAAGGGACAGGCATTGAGGCGGCAAAGGTTACTAAATGGGGGGGGGGGTTAAATATTGAATGTGAGGTTAAGGAATTTGGAATATATAGAGGAGATAACCTGAGTGACTAAGATAATTTAAGCAAGGAAGTAACTTGCTCTTGAAGGAAGAGCTCTTGAAAGTAACTTGCTCTTGAAGGAAGAAATGCTCTTGAAACAATAATTGGCAGTGCAGCAGGTTGAAGTAGGCTGAGGGACTTAAGTCCAGGAAACAAACAAGGTAGCAATTATAGCTATCGATGAGCCAAGAGGAGAAAGAATGGAATAAGATGCCAACAGATGAAATGAAAAGGAAGGGATAGGTAAAAGAGATTTATGAATCATTTCCTTAGCTTGAGAATTCTGCCAATATTATATAATTACTACCTTCAATTAATGCTAAGGAACTAGGTAGCTTATGGCTTGGAAATAACACCTTTGATTTGCTAAGTAAATTTTTCAAATTGTTACTTTCTTTAAAAAAAAAGTTGGCATTTAATTTTTATAAGCTGCATTGTGCTAAAAAGTTTCTAGGCACTCTACAAATCATACAATTCAACATGATAGCTACTTGGATGGATTGCAAATGACCCAAGCTTCTTATTCTGTGTTTTGTATTCTCTACTCTCAATCAATAAACCTTTGAGACAGTTAAATTTATCTGGAGGACTCATGTCTTCCAGTACACAGACACTTATTATGATGGAAAAAAAAAAAAGAATCATGGTCTAAATGATCATTTAAAAATAAAATTGCATTTTCTGTTTAAATGATTTACTGAGAATTATGCTGGTGTTATTTGAAGCTGGTACAAGTAGCTATATGACCATATGCATTGTTTCTTGTGCAAAGAGCTATGGTTCCAGTTCTGGTTTAAATAGCAGCCTAGAGAAACATGTTTAATTTATTAAATGTAAACAGAGGCCAAATTATAGGGAAGCTGAAAGGAAAATAATAAGCTAACTAGAACATATGTGGACCCTGGAGTGGATGGAGTGAGCTATCTGTTTCAGCAAATCTGGTCAGGGATGTCTTAGGAAGCGGCAGTGACCAAATCACTGAATTCAGTGATTTCAGTGGCTGAATTCAGTTTTTCTGCTTATTCTTTAAGCACTGTGAGCACCCCCTTCTTATTGCACACACTGCTCTTAAGTCCGTCTGAACTTTCACAAACCTTATTTTTTTTTATAAGTGTTCATTTGCTCAATGAGAATTTTTGTGGCCTCTGCTATTTGTAGAGCTCTATTATGTGTAGGCATTTGATGGGATATATAAGGAATAGAAGACACCATTCCTGTGTACAGGAGACTCCAAGAAAGCAGGTGGAAAAAGAAAAACATGAGAAGAGTGAATTACAGATAACATGGACCATGGCACAATAGCAAGTAAAGATAAAAGGAACCAAAGGGATACAGAGTGCTGGGGATGTAGATCCTTCCTAGGCTGAGCTGTGACCTAAGATAAGTTCTTACACTAGAGCTTTAAAATTATTATCTAAAATACCACACAATCTTGAAACTCCTATCCAACCCCATCTTTATGTAAAATTATAAATTTGGGTTAATATTCACCATAGAAATTATTTTATTAATGTAATAATTTTTTCTGAAGTTGGTAAAAATTCATGAGTTAGCATTAGTTAAAGAACCCTCAAAGATTTTTCATTGTTCATCCAAACAACCAAGTTTAGTAATTTTTAAAAAAATTTTTTCCTGTTGCAGCAGAAGCTGCAAATGAATATGTATTATCTCTATGCACTTTAAATCCCAAAGACAATATTATAATTTTATTTTAAATAGTCATGTGTATTTTAAATAAATTAAAGCAAATACCTATCTATTTATAACTTACAATATTCTTCATTCATTTCCAGAGATCCAAGCTTCCTTTTGGTATCATTTGCCTTTAGCTTGATGAATTCCATTAGTGTTCTCTGTAGTGTATTTCTGGTGGCAATGAATTCCTGTTTTCATTCATCTAAAAATATATTTATTTCACCTTCATTTCTACATTATATTTTTGTTGGATATAGAATTTTAGGTTGACCATTCTTTTTCTTCTATCAGTTATCTTGAATAATTGATATGTATAGAACTCTAAATGAAACCTAAGAACTGCAGAATACATATTATTTTCAAGTTCACATGGTAACAGTCACCAAAATAAATGCTAGGGTGTAAAATAAGTCTGGATATATTTTAAAAGATAAGACTAATACATATTATGTTCTCAGATCATTAGGAAGTCAACAACAGTGAGTCAACAACATCCATGAAACCAAGGATGTATTTGAAAATGAAGTCAACAACATCCATGAAACCAAGGATGTATTTGAAAATGAAGCAACACAATTCTAAATACATGGGTCAGAGAAGGAAACAAAGAAAAATAGAAAACATTTCAAATTAAATGAGAATAAAAATATAACCTGTTAAAATCTGAAGAATGCTGAAAAAACAGTAGTTGGGGGAAATTTATGTTATATGCTTATATTAGAAAATAATTCTAAGATTAATGAACTAATGTTTCACCTGAAAAATCAGAAGTAACAGTAGGCCCCAAATAAGCAAAACTAGGGAAATAATAAAGATAAGAACAGATCAATAAAATACATAACAAACAATAGAGAAAATTAACAATGTCAAAAGTTAGTTCTCTGAGATCCATCAGAAAATTGAGATCATAGGGCAAACCTATGTCCCCTGGAGAGAAAGAGAGATAAAGACAGTCGCAGCTTACCAGAGCAGAAGCCCAGCAATGAAAAATTGGAATTTGAAATCAAAAGCACAATATTATTTACATTAGAACCTCAAAAAATGAAATACTTAAGTAAAAATCTAACAAAATAAGTACAGTAAAGCCTTGGTTTGTGAGCATAATTTGTTCTGGAAACATGCTTGTGATCCAAAGCATTTGTATATTAAAACGAATTTCCCCATAAGAAATAATGGAAACTCAGAATATTTTTTTCCACAATCCAAAAATATTCATATAAAGATGATTATAATTCTTTAACATAATACAAAATAATAAAGAAAATGCAAAATATAAAGAAAAATAAACAAATTAACCAGGACTTACCTTTGAAAACCTTCGTGGCTGGTGTGAGGGAGACAAGGGAGAGGAAGGTTATTGTGTAGGACATCTTTCACTGTCACTAATGGAGTCATTGCTATCTATTGGCCCAATGGAATCTTTTTCTACATGGGGGCCATGTATATGCTCACATTGATGTTGACTACAGTACAGTATTAATAAATTATTGTCATATGCTGTATTTAATGTAATTGGCAATAAGGCAGCAGAGGAAAGGGTCTATATCTGCAGGTGGCCTGACCTAGAGTGAAGCAAAGCATTCCTAAGCTTAGTTTTGTATGGAAAAGCAAAGGACTGCCTATAGGTGCTTTGAAGTGACAAAAAATATACTAGTGCCAGTTTTAGGCACCTTCCAATGTTCTGAAAAATCACTGATTTCTGCCAAACATCATGGCCTGAGACTGAGCATCTGATCATGGGAGATGATCCTCCACAATCCCTCAGTGAGAGAGAGAAGAACCATTGGCTCAGTTGTGATCATGTGACATTCAGTGTCACATACTACTCATATTGCAAGACATTGCTCTTTTAGCAAGTTAAAATTTATTAGAAATGTTTGCTCGTCTTGCAGAACACTTGTAGAACAAGTTACTTGCAATCCAAGATTTTACTGTAGAAGATCTGTATGAAGAAAACTACGAAACTCTGATGAAAGAAATCAAAGGAGATCTAAATATATGGAGAGATATTCTATAAAATGGATGGGAAGATTCTATTACCTAGATGTCAGTTCTTCCAAAAACTTATCTATTAACTCCATGTAATGCCAATAAAAATCCCAGGAAGTCATTTTATGGATATCAACAACCTGATTCTAAAGTTTATATGGAAAATCATAAGAACCGGAATATTCAATACAATATTGAAGGGGAACAACAAAGTCATAACACTAAGACTCCCTATCTTTGAGACATACTTTAAAGCTACAGTAATCAAGACAGGGTGGTACTGGTGAAAGAATAGACAAGTATATCAATGGAACTGAACAGACAGCACGGAAATGAGCATTGATGAATATAGTCAATTATGGCTGAAATAAGAGCAAAGGCAACTCAATGGAGAAAAGATACTCATTTCAACAAATGGTTTTAGAACGACTGGACATCCATGTGCCAAAAAAATGAATCTAGACAAAAAAAGTGAATCTTATACCCTTCACAAAAATTAATTCAAATGAATCATAGACTTACATGTAAAATGTAAAACTATAAAACTCCTAAAAGATAACATAGGAAAAAAATCTAGTTGTCCATGGGTCTGGCAGTAACTTTAGATACAATACCAAAAGCATATCTTTGAAAGGAAGAATTGATAGGCTGAGTTTCATTAAAATAAAAATACTTCTCTACAAAAGATACTGAATGAAAAGACAGGTCATAGACTGGAAGAAAATCTTTCCAAAACACATATCTGATAAAGTACTGGTATCCAAAATATACAAAGAACTCTTAAAACACAGCAAGAAGAAAACAACTCAATTTAAAATGGACAGAAGAGGGGCGCCTGGGTGGCGCAGTTGGTTAAGCGTCCGACTTCTGCCAGGTCACGATCTCGCGGTCCGGGAGTTCGAGCCCCGCGTCAGGCTCTGGGCTGATGGCTCAGAGCCTGGAGCCTGTTTCCGATTCTGTGTCTCCCTCTCTCTCTGCCCCTCCCCCATTCATGCTCTGTCTCTCTCTGTCCCAAAAATAAATAAATGTTGAAAAAATAAATAAATAAATAAAATGGACAGAAGATCTTTTGTCTGTATTTTCTTCTTCCCAGTTTTTATTTATTTCTTTTGTTTTTTTCTTCTAACTTTTTATTTTTGAAATGTGCAAAAGACCTGAACAAAAATCTCACAAAAGAAGATATACATATAACAAATACACTTGTGAAAAGATGTACAACGTTATATGTCATTAAGGAATTACAAATTAAAACAATAGGATACTACCACACACGTATTAAAATGGCCAAAATTCAAAACACTGACAATACAAACTCCTGGTGAGGATGTGGAACTACATGAACTTGCACTCACATCTGGTGAGAATGTAAATACTGTAGCAACTTTGGAAGACTGGTTGGTAGTTTTTTATAATATTAAACATACTCTTACAAGATGATGCAGTAGTTGTGCTCGTTGGTATCTACCCAATTGAGTTGAAAGTTTAAGTCCACACAAAAACCTACACAAGTTTATTCATAATTATCCCAAATTGGAAGCAACCAAGATGTTCAGTAGGTGAATAAATAAACTTCGGTACATCAATAAAATGGAATCTAATTGAGCAATAAAAATAAATGAGCTATTGCTGGGTCGTAGGGAAGTACCCTACGACCCAGCAATAGCACTATGAGGTATTTACCCAAAGCATACAAAAATGCTGATTTGAAGGGGCACAATGCCCCCCGATGTTTATAGCAGCAGTATCAACAATAGCCAAATTATGGAAAGAGCCCAAATGTCCATCAACTGATGAATGGATAAAGATGTGGTTTATGTATACAATGGAATACTGCTTGGTGATCAAAAAGAATGAAAGCTTGCCATTTGCAACAACATGGATGGAACTAGAGTGTATTGTACTAAGTGGAATAAGTCAGTCAGAGAAAGACAAATATCACATTATTTCATCCATATGTGGAATTTAAGAAATGAAACAGATGAACATAGGGGAAGGGAAGGAAAAATAAGATAAAAACAGAGAGGGAGGCAAACCATAAGGGACTCCTAAATACAGAGTACAAACTGAGAGTTGCTGTAGGGGAGGTAGGTGCAAGGATAGGTGAAATGGGTGATGGGCATTAAGGAGGACACTTGTTGTGATGGGCACTGGGTGTTATATGCAAGTGATGAATCACTGGATTTTCCTGCTGAAACCAATACTATGCTGTATGTTAACTAACTTGAATTTAAATAAATTCAGACAAAATAAATGAGCTATTAAGCCATGAAAAGACATGAAGGAAGCTCAATGCATACTTCCAAATAAAAAAAGTCAGGTTTAAAAGGTTCCATACTGTATGACATTCTCAAAAAAGCAAAAACTGTGGAGACAATAAAAAGATCAGTGGTTGCCAGCAGTTTAGGGAGCAAGAAGGGGGATGAATAGGAGGAACACAGGAGAATTCCAGGGCATTGAAACTATTCTGTATGATACAATAATGTTGGATACTTGTTACTATACATTTATCAAAACCCATAGATTACATGGCACTAAGAATTAACCTGAATATAAGCTATACATTTCAGTTAATAATAATGTATCTATATTGGTTCATCAATTGTAACAAATATACCACACTAATGCAAGATGTTAATAATAGAGGAAACTAGGGGTGGGTGTATATGGGAACTCTGTGCTTTCTGCTTAGTGATCTGTAAACCTAAAACTGCTCTAAAAAATCCTAAAACTGCTTTAAAAAATCAAGTCTATTAATAAGATAGAAACTGAAATAATCCCTAACAAGAATTACCAAGACAAAAGATAATATAAATCTCAGTATAACTGTAACAGATAGGTTATCAATACAAATTCTACAGATATTAAAGGATAATGAAAGTATTATGAACAGCACTATGCCAACACATTTAACAGCCAAGATGAAATGGAAAAATTCCTTGCACAACAAAAACTCACTCCTTGAACTCCTTGAACAACTCATTTAACAGCCAAGATGAAATGGAAAAATTCCTTGAACAACAAAAACTCACTCCTTGAACAACAAAGCTCACTCATGAAGAAACGGATATCCAGAAAGAACTAATATTTAACAATGAAATTAAAATTTTATTTTAAACTTTTCCAGGAAGAAAATTCCAGGCCAGATGCCTTCATTGTTAAATTCAAAATTCTATTAAACACTTAAGGAAGGAATAATATCATGTCTTCAAAAAATTTTACAAAGAGTAACAGACAAGGAAACATTTATCAAATAATTTTATGAAGTAAGCATTACTATGATATTGAAAATAGACATTAGTATTAAAGAAAAATAAACTAACCCTTATGAACATATGCATAGAAATTCTTAATAAAATATTTAAAAATTGAAACCAGCTATATATAAAAAGAATAATACATCATGACCACATGAGACTTATTCAAAGAATGCAAGGTTGATTTAACATTCAAAAAAAATGAATACAAATAATGGGGAAATTCATATGATGTTTTCCATAGGTGAAGAACAAATACTATACAAAATTCAACCTCTGTTCATTATTTTAAAATGAAATAACTCTAAACAAAACTGGAACACCGGGAAACTACTTCAATCTTCAAAAAGGCATCTATGGAAAAACCTGCAGCTAACATTATATTAATGATTAAATATTAAATGCTTTACCCTTAAATTCAGTGAGTAAATCAAGTTTGTAGGATAAAAGGTTAATAAATGAAAGTCAACTGCATTTTTATATACTGACAGCAAATAATTAGGAAATGAGACTATTGAGTTTAATGTAATTCAATCTATAATAACACCAATAGATAAATTTAACAAAATCCATGTATGAGCTATACACTAAACCCCACAAAATATGGCTTAGAAAAATTATAGAAACTTTAGCTAAATGGAACAATATACCATACTCTTGGCCTGGAAAACTCCATATTGTTAAGACATCCATCATCCCCAAATTGATCTGTCAATTCCAGGCAATTCCAATAAAATATAGCAAGATTTTTAGAAATTGATAAGTTGATTCTGAATTTATGAAAATTCGAATGATCTAAGATAGTCACAACAGTTTTTTATAGGGCAAATTTGGAGGTCTTACATTTCCTGGTTTAAAGACCTGGGGTAAACTACAGCAATTAAGACATTCTGGTGTTGTCAAGAGGATGGATACATACATCAAGGAACAGAATTGGGAGCACGGGAATAGTCCAGATACACATGATCAATTGATTTTTTTTTTAATTAATATTTTTATTTTAATTCCAATATAGTTAACATATAGTATTATATTAAGTTCAGGTGTACAATATAGTGATTCAATAATTCTATATATTACTCGGTGCCAATCATGATTTTATATACATATGTATATATATATATATGTATATATGTATATATATAATTTATATCTATGTATATGTATATATGTAAATCTATC